TGCTGAAAACTTTGATATGACTAGATAAGCCTATTTCACTTCCCTACACGAAGCTCGAAGAACTACTAATAAAGTGTGAAATGTACTAATTTCGTGTAACATGAAAGAACAAAACTTCTTAAAATGATTCGCAAGGATATCACGGATTCTACTAGATTAATCAGTTACCATACAGAGTCTACATCCATTACACAGTCGGACAGGTACATGAATAATCACTGACTTCGAATTCCAAATGTAATATGTTCGTTTGTGCTCGTCTACCATTACTTACTGTAAATCACACTACTCCGCGAATTCCTAGATAATACAATAATTCATATACTTGCAGTTATCATATGCACCTACTCGTGATCTGGTGAGAATCTGTGACCGGGCGCCTTCAGTTGGAGTGTGTCCAGTAAAATTAATGAGGTCGGAATCAACGTTGAGGACTTATAAGACTAATTACTTTGAGAATTTGTTTACCGTCACAATCAAGTTACCCAGTGATTATGCCAAAAATTAAGAGCTGATGGTAAACTGAAAAATAACCGGGTCCAACCTTTACGATATCCGACTCATCATAAAGACAGTCATTGCCAGATAAATTCAAATGAAGAAATATTGATCCCACAATTCATGGACAGACCGATGGGATTCGCGCTAGCACCCGTCAGATTTTTAAATGTAACCCTAACTCCCAATTTTCATTTCTCACCCTGAAACATAATGCTGTTATGAATTTAGTTAGTAGGTTTCCCAATAAATTATCCTCAGGGAAACATAAGCACTGAAAATTAACTGAGAATGTGAAATTTGGAGAGCTTCCAGTTGTACAAGAACATCACAGATGAAAACAAATAGAACAAGAACGCTTGACTGTGTATCAATCATTAATCCTCAACGATAAAATAAGGTCTTCAGAAATAATAACTGGTAAATAATGGTGAACAAAAAACTGTACGATTTCATTAACTGAAAGAATGATCTTATAACGAGCACAAGTGAAAAAAACAGAAAACCTAACTAACTGACCTCTAACTAGTCAGCATCATATTATTGTAACTAATTAATGGAATCGCACAGCTAGACATTTTTTATTTCAGTTATCAAAATGTTTGACTTCTGGTTCTAGCCAAAACATTCCTAAAATAGTTCTCAATACAACAGGGAAGATTTTCTAATGACTTTATCGTGATTTTGCAAACTTAAAAGGCATTTTAGAATGCACGACAAAACACAACTGAATGATATCTGCCTGTGGTGTTTGAATGAACTAATGACTTCTTTGTACTTATTGAATGTTTGATTTCGAATTCTAAATACAGTACGTTCGTTAGTGCTTGTGTAGTACTTCTTGATTCAATTGCGTTATCTCTGGGATTCTTAGTTCATACTATAATTCAAATACTTCTTATTATCATACTGCCATAAGTTTTAGATTTTCGCTTTTATTAAATTGACTATAACGTGTCGTAAAATTAATCGAGAATATGACAATCTTATAAAATGAACAAACTTTTGTTCCTGATTTCACAATTCAGTCATCATTAGCCACTAGATATATCACTGAATTTGACATTCCGACCTATTTGAATTTTGATAACAGGAGACAGAAAAAATACAACAGAACGGATCAATAGATATCAGAAATTCAAATAGTTCTTGATCAATCAAGAATGACTTCTCGTATATTCAGCATTGATTGAATAAACCTAAGCATTTGTAGTCGTGTCCACTACTTTCACACCTTTTTAAAAAGGTGACACTTTAGTTGTTTTGATGAATTCTCATAAAAAATCAAAGGCTACTACTAATCTTCTAAAAGTCGTTGATTTTCTTTGTTTAAAATAGTAAGGACGTTTCGACTGTTAGTTTCACAATCACAATAAAAAGATACGTATGATTTCCTTATGTGACATCAACTTCTCTAGAGAATGTGCCTTATGTAAACAAGGAAATGATTCGTCCTGTTCATTTCAATTAGGACAGCTTCATAAAATATTGCTGTTCTTATTTAAATCTTTTATTATACAGAACTTTACAGACATTTTAAGTTCTAAATATTATTAAGCACAGTTTTGTATTCGACTTAACTTGTAGCAACTTTAATCCATGTATCCCTAGACACTTTACTGAGACATGACAAGAATGAATTTTTGGTCTTATTTTTGAGTTGATCTGTTGAAAATGTTCGACATATTACCTGCATAACTTTATCGGTATGGTGTTACTTTAATCTTGCCGTATTGTCAGGTTTAACTGAAACATACTGTTAATGATTCAATTTAAAATGATTTGAACTATCTCATTGTTAATATTTTGATTGAAATCCTATCAGTCATGGTTGGTTTATATACATCCTGTGCGAATTATCTTAATCTACCCATTATAACACAAGTTTATATAAAATTGATGGAATTCAGAACGCGCGTTTCGTTCTATTTGGGACACGCTAAACGATGAACGATAAGTGAACATCAACTCTGTATCCAACAGACGAGTCTCAGGATGAAAAGAGAGTCCTTGATTTGATGCAAGTCACATATCATCTATTCTATATACTGTAAATAAATCTTTCTAATTGAATTTCGATATATTATTACCGAAAAATGGTGGCTTTACAGTATTCTGATAGTTTTTTGTCGTAAACACTTTTATTTAGGAGTCATATCGAGTTGACGAGGTCTCTTTTTAGGGATCATGGGTTCACAGAAAAATAAGACTATATAGGTATTTCACATATATGTGTGTGACTAAAACTGTTTAAACTGAATGCATTAGCAAAAACTTATTCTTAATTTTAAAATATTGCGGTTCTAACTAAACACTCATATCCGTGATTTTATCCGAAAATCTATTCGAAGATAAACTAATTAGTTATAAATCAAAATATATGGTGGAATATCACTACATTTTTAAAATACAACACCCCAATGATTAAATTCCTATATTAACTGATGGTGAACAAAAATGATGACGTCAAATTCAGTCAAAAAAATGTGGAACGAATTTTGTTTCCTGGTTCATTGGATTTCGTTACAATCACTAAAATAGTAAGATTTACTTCATGCTTCCCCCCCCCCAATAATAGCGAACTGACAACCGATTGTAAATAACAACTCAAGTTTTATTCATGAGTGAGGGATCGTGGATGTGCAGTGTTGGGAAACCCGATTCTAAGACGAAACAGCCATTCAGTGCTTCCAGTTTTTCAATAGTGGTCTGATTTATATCAGTTGATGATTTAAGTGAAATTCAACGATCTCTATAAACCCATACTCAAGAATTTGAATTGCCTAGATAACGTATATACAATTAGCTTACTTAAAAATAAACATCACTTTCCTATTTATAAATCAAACGTAAGTGAGAAAAGATGAGACATTGAAAACAAACGAAAACGACAAACCCAATCCACTGATTTTTTAAAAATTTATTTTAAATTGATCATTAATGAATGATTTAACGAACCTGCAGGAAGTGATTAGAGAGAAACCGATAACATATTGTATATAATTTATCAATATTGTAACAATTGAAATGTAATAACCAACTCCAAGAATGGTTACTTAATCCTATGCTGAACAGCCTATTTCGGAAACAATCAAGTCAGCTGTCCGTAAATAATGTCAATCTGTATTACAACATTAAACGTCGTTCAAAAAAGTGAAGTACATTTGAATGATATGCAAAAGCATTAAGCTTGATAACTAAGTCTTCATTTCATCAATGAATAGGTAACCAACACAATGAATATCTTTTACATGTTTATTTGATAAGTCGCACCTAATCACGCTTACTTTTATGCTTAGTAATTTGTATATAAGCATGTTATTCTACTAAAGGGAAAGTCTGTTCTGCTAAACAAATGTCTTTTTTTCTTTTTAAAATCAATTCATTCGGAAGATTGGATCAACAACTTAGTCTTGTGAGTAAATATTACTAAATCACTTCGTACTACTATGTATAATGTATCGATTAGCACTCTATTCGTACACAATAACAATTTGAAACATGTTCAATATCAAAATCTGCTTCTTCATGGAAACTTTTATGACTTAAATCAGACTGCATCAATCATATTTATACACATTCTGTTGAATAGAGATTTAGGTGAATCACCCCATCTTGCTACTTGATTGTCTCACCGATAAGATGTTACCATACAGAAAAAGTCTTTGTAAGTGGCTTAGATAATTGTTTATGATGGTTCCTCCAATAATATTAGGATTTTTAAAAAAATATACTAATCATTCAGACACAATCAACTTAGGACCTAGCACAGATGTGCATCGGTCCGATTTATAATACCACGACAACAACATGGATAATAAACAAGTTGAAGTAATAATAATATTAATAATAGTTAAGAAAAAAAAGATTAAATGTTGAAGATGTAGTTGGAAAAAAATGAGCCTGGGTAAATAATAGTCAGACTTCAGATCTATAAAATTAGAAATAAATGTATTTAAACCCGTTGCTACCTAATTTAAACCATGTTAACTAAGGCTGTTAAATAATGGACGTAGATAATAAGGTTGTCTGTAACTATAAATGCGATATACAACATCAATCCAATAGTTCACTTGGCGTTGTTTAACTTGTATTTTCCCATTGTCATTTAGAACTAGAATTGATGATGATGTTGGTCTTTGTGCATCCTGTGCAAATTGCTTCGATATAGCCCTGATTCAAATGGTTTTTAATCAAAAATGGATAGTGGCTAGCAGTGGAATCCAGGACGCGCGTTTCGTCCTATTTGGGACTCGTCAGCTGGATGTACCTACATCTCAGAGTTGATGTTCACTCTGGGACTCGAGCCCAATACCGTTCGCTTCAAACGCCATCGTGTTATCCACTTAGCTACTGAGTCCTGATAGCCACTCGCTTGTGCAATGAGGTGGAGGAACATCTAGCTGACGAGTTCCAAATAGGACGAAACGCGCATCATGGATTCTACTATTAGTCACTATCCATTGTTAATCAATCCAAAAGATTTAGCAAAAAATAGACACTTCATTTTACAATTTATTTATATGATCTACATAGTTTTTATATACAAAATAATTCATTAAACATATAAGCTTACTTTTAGAAATAAATATACAAAAGTGTTTTTCATCGGTCTATATACAATTACGTAACTAAAACAAATGATGCGCTAAAAAAGGTATCATCATTGAAATAATTAAATTTCTATCCCAATATACTCGATATCCTGACAACTAAAATAAAAAAAAGTAAGGAGAAATCCCATGAATATTATAAAGAATTATCCAAATATATATTATCGTGATTACAAATCTAATACAATTGAATTGTCGGACTGTAATTTACGGACGACCTTTGAACGAATCTTAAGTGACCTTGAGGAATGTTAGCCAATCAGCAAAGAGTCAGTATGGAGTAAAAATATATTATACAAAAACAAGGAAATAAAGTGGATACACTTCTTATACATGGTTCACAAACTTTTCAAGTTTAAAAAGAGATTCAGAGGTTCTAAAATCGTAATAAATGCAGTAGAGGAAATCATCCATACGGTTACAGAATAGTTGGCCTCTGGAACTATGATAACGTCTCAAAAACTCCTTCAGCCTCGACCACATAGTTTCAATATTGTCTATTTGCACTCCGGTTGTTGATTACACACAATGCTACTTGTGGATAACGACACGATGTACATAACCAAGTCTATATAGGAGTCCGTACACCCTCTAAACATCCGAATATATTGTAGTACCTGGCTGCAGCCAGTGTTACCGGTGCTTTTATTATCCGGTTCGCAATAATTGTTATAATTTAACTTAGTTAGCAATTATATATGGGGTTTTCATCATGAATTGACATCAGCTATAATGCCAGAAATTTATTTAGCCAAATGGATAGAAGGCTTTCACCTTAAAATCCAGGATCTGTTATCTTTTACCTGATTGATTCGTTCACAAATAGTAGTCTCGCCGTTTTATTTGTTATAGCCGCTCAATTATTACGTTTTGTACAAAATTCCTTGTGAACTAATCGTACTTTAGGACTAAGCACTGAAGTTGGCTCTGTAACTTTGAAATTCCTAAAACGCTTCTGATTGGCTCGTTCACAAATTAAAGTCTCGCCAAATTCTTATAAATATGATCAAGTCAATTGAAGCATATCTAAGAACAAGTGTTTAATGACATTTTCTAAAGAATAAATAGATAGTACTTAATAGTAAAATTCATGATGTGCATTTTGTTCTATTTTGAACTAGTTAATTGGATACATCAACATCTCAATGTTAATGTTCAACCTAGGACTCTAATTTAACACTTATTTTCAATGCCAATCACAATCTATCTATATTTGTTTCTAAAGATAGTTTGTAATAAAATGAATAAACTGAGGCAATGAGTGATTTATGTTATGTGTGTAGAAATAGATTCGATTGTCAGAAATCACAGCGGTTATGTCTTCATAGGTTATTTATGAATAAGAAAAACAAAGAGGATCACAGTCATATAAATAAAATTGGCTACATTTAAACATTTATGTGCAGTAACAGTTATTTTAGTAATTTAGAATAACTTGTTATGCAAGTTTATCATCACTGATATCTGTATAAGAGAATGTAGGTATCACTACCAAGATTTGATTTGATAATTTCGAATAAATTGAGCATTGGGTAGATTGTTATAAATAGATAATATATTTGTAAATATTCTAATGAGTAGAAAAATTAGATTTTCTGACGTTTTGTGACTTAGTGTAAGTCACTTCTTTAGATATCTGTAACACCAACATTGCAACTTAATCTGCAAAACTCGTTAAGCACTCGTGACTACATAAAGGTCAGTCGCCGCTTGAATAGCCTAGTGACAACGTCCCACATTGTGAAGCTAGCTGACCCATGTTTGGATTATACATCGAACATCACCTCCCTCAAGCTTTCTGGTGCAGTTAGCTGACAACGAACAATTATCACGGAAGCAAGGTCTAAAGTTTACTGCTGACTACCTTCGACCACTTAATACCTGAAAACAATTGATTGACATTTTTTTAAAAAGTTTTCGGCAATGAAGTCATGAAATTAAGATACCTCTAATCCAAGATGTTCTTTGTTGACATGATACTCAAACTCATTATTAAATATTCAGGTGACAAAATAAATGTCTTCACAAGCTGGATAATAGTTATAATTGTCAGTCAAAAGATATAATATTTATGTTTTTGTTACACATATATAACTCCAATTAACTTAAAAATAGTTTTGATTACCTCTCAGTCAGTATGGTTTTATTTGTAACATAGAATATATGATGACTGAATTTCTCTTTCAAACATCTGTAATAATTTTACTGCATATCAATACGTTTGATATTTGTCTTTAATTTCAAGCTATACATTTTAGAGAAAAAGCTTTCAGTCTCAGTTCAAGATGTTTAATACCCTGATTATAGACTTTCAAAACTTCACTTAACTCATAAAACTGAGTGACCAAATACAGAAATCACAAACCATAAGGGTTGAATAAACAACTATCTGTAAAATTACAGTGACAAAACTTTTCTAGTATTATTTATGAACCGCTGAGATTTAATAACACTTATTCTTTAACATGGAATCAAACATCAGTTTTGCGATAAACTATTCACTAGTTTTGTGACTTTAGTCCAACTGATAGAGATGTCTAATAATTCAATTGAGGAACCAGGTACACTCAAATAAAACGAAACACACGTCTTGAGTTTTACTGCTAGTCACATTTTATTTGTTCTATGTTTGGAATATTCACTCATGGTTACACCGTCCAACCAAGATCCTCAAACACCCTGATAAGTAATTAATTAGTTTCCCAAATGAAATCATTCACAGAGTTTAGTTGAAGATTAGGGCAGTAAATGAGTAATATTTAAATGAACTTAAAGCTATTCCTACTTAGAAAACATCCAACGATTCGTACAAATCATGCTTACTTTAATAATACAAATTTTAATTGTTGACTTACTGTTGCGTAATAATTACACAATTCACCTTGACAACATTCCACACATCTCCAGTCCATATACCATTCACGTTGACAAGTCTTACCAGCAATTTCTTTTTGACGCTCACATTCTTCTGTAGAAATACAAGCTTTCCATAAAAAATGAGTTCGTTCCCCCATAGGCGACCAATAGGGAGGAACTAAAAGGAAAATGATTTTTATAGAAAATAATACTGGCTAAATGTACGAGTAACATCTTCACAGTGCTATTTTATCACTCAATTTTGATTTGCATAAGCATATACATATGCCAGTTATAGTCATTAGTACAAGTCATCATAAAACAGGACGAGATAAAATTAAGATAAAAAGCGAAGGAATAATGAATGGTAACTGTTGGGATCTATTTGTGAACCAATGCTATACATATATATTTATTTTATAATTCTTAAGTAATTAAACTACGTATATTTATATACTTATTATTATAAGGTTTATTTTTACTTATAGACTATTACTATATGATTTATCATTCATAAGTTATGCCCAGTTTATACATTCTAGTCTCCTACATTCACAGCTACTTTTGGCTAGATCTTGTACAAATATTATTTTTTATTCAGTGGTGTGATGTGTCCTATCTGGCTTGTATATAAACCCAGTATTCAAAAATTAAGAATATTTGAGCGAACAATTGTTTTCAATAACTTCGCTCAAATATTCTTAATTTTTGAATATTCTATGGGGATTTTTAAACTGCTAAACCCAGTATGTTTGAAATATATGATTCATATCTCGGAGGCTGGGGTTTATGTTCTAGACTCAACAGGCAGGGCTAGAGAGGAAGAAGGATTGATAAGGACTCTAGACTGTTCGTACGGGTTTATAAGTAATTGACTGATAAATCGCTGTTCTCTAGTTGACGGTATCGTTTCGTCATATGTTAATAGGCCACAAGTTATGACAAACATTAAGTAAAATTGATGTATAAACAGCAAACTTCATTAATGAAATTGAAGATTTTTAAGGAAACAAAGAGTACACACAGATACATCGTTACAACTAATGTTGAGCCATGGTTATCACTCGGACCGCAACTAGTACAGATACATCCGAACAAGTAGGAGCAACTGTCATATTTTCACTGAATTATGTTACGTCTAGCCTTCCAATAACCCACTACAATTCATTACACACCAGGACAAGCAGTTTCGTAACACGTCTGCAAGCTAAAACAGCGGAGCTGTAGAGTTTAGCGGTTAAGACATTTGGCCAAAAAGCCGCAAGTTTTAATTCTGCCCCAATTCCGTTTGGGTAGTTGAGTAATATTGTTAGCCTATCACACTAAGAGTGTTGCTCATGTTCAAGGATCTGGTGGGTGAATTCAGTGTAAATCGACTATGAATTAAATGACAGAATTTAACATGTTCAACAAGCAAATCAAACAAATACAAGAAATATGACTGAACTTTGTTGACACTTGCGTTTAAATTTACGTTATGGGCAATAACAAACAATAAAAATAATAAGCAGAGTATTTTAAGGACAAAAACTGTCGATGAATAACTTCTCTAGATCGATCACAATTGCTCATACTTAAATTTAACAAAGCAACATATTAGAAAAAGCTTTAAAATTTATTTAGACATTTAAAAAACAAACCGTTGTCATTTTAACCATGAAAATTTAAGTCTACGCGCAAAATGCTTCAGCATTACTTAGAAATACGAGGACAAGATGTGAACGGTGTAGTGAACTTAAAAATATCACGCAATAGGTTACTCACTAAATGTAACATCTTTAGTAATCAACTTATGACGTCAGCTTACATCAATACTCATATGATTTATAATTACTCACGGTTCAGCTTATTGTCAAGTATTTTTTGAAATAAAAATACTATTTTCACAGTGTTTTTACTAGTATTTTAGTTTTTACATAGAGTTTGTTCCAATTCAACTGGAAGGAAATACCACACACTTGAACTAAGTGTTAGGCTAAAGCAGTATGACCAGATATTAGGTCTTATTATGGTGTATGTTTGCACTTTCAAAACTTTGATTTGTTATTTAATGGTATTTCGACATTTTCAAAATTTTGTGAGTTTTGTAAATGGCATACGCTTATAAACAATGTCTGATGGCCTACTGGTAGACCATGATTCGTCTCAGTAAAACTGCTGATTATTTGATGATCCTTTCTAAATGGTTGGTTTTATTTGTAAGTAAACATTTTAATGCCTTAACTTCTTGTAAAAACCTGAATATAATCATAGCATAAGAGAATTTTCACATTAAGAGATAATATCTGTAATACAGAACAACTTTCAAACTTTTTGTGATTTGTCTAGTTGATGTGATTGCTAGTTTGTCGTAACAACATTTAGGTTACCCAGTTAAAAGAGAATTCACATTTATCTGTGGAACAGATTAGGTCTTAGTGGAAAGTTCAGTCAGTCAGCTGCAACGTAGGACTAGGCACATATATGCATCGGTCCAAGTTGCCATACCGCATTAGCACAACAAGATGAACACCGGATTCATAGAAGTAGTTAATTCAGTGATGGTAATATATAGAAGAAAGATTGTGTATAAGGATATAATACAGGAAGAAAAAATTAGTTCATAGAAAGACATGAAGCGATTTTAATCTCTTAGTTTAAGGGAAGACAGAGAGTGTATGCACCGACGCTATTGTGATCGATTCTGAGCCATGTCACCAAGAGTCTTCAACCATTGGTTACGATAGTCACGCGGACCCCAACCAGGCAGTCTACATCTACCAACATGGCTCAAACCAAGAGTTAGTGCCTTCAAGCACTGATACCACGTTTTGGTTTGGCCGCCTCTACCTTTCTTCCAATTATCCCTAACATCAGTGGGCATTGCGCGTCGTGGTAATCGGTGTTCAGGCATACGCAACACGTGACCCAATCATCTCAGTCGATGAAGATTCATAACCTCATCAACTGATTTACCATCATTCCCTAATACCCCACGTCTAACCTCACTATTACTTACCCGGTGATCCCAGCAGATACCCGCAATATTTCTAAGGCATCTGTGGTCAAATACTAGTAACTTACGAATATCTTCTACTCTTAAAGGCCATGTTTCGCAGCCGTATAGTAGAACGGAACGAACTGCCGCGCAGTATACTCGTCCCTTAATTCATAGACGGATATCTCGCCTTCGCCATAGATGACGTAAGTTGGCAAAGGCCAAACGAGCTTTTCGAATCCGTGCTGAGATTTCGTCAGACACCAACCCATTAAAGCTGACCAGACTTCCAAGATAAGTGAAGTTGTCAACGCGTTCGACTACTTCACTCCCTATCCTTAGTTCAGGTGTTGACGCAGACCAGTCCTGAAGCAACAACTTGCATTTAGAGGGAGAGAAGCGCATCCCAAGCATTCTGGCATTGTTGCTCAGTGCTACCAAAAGACTTTGCATTTTATCAGCGTCTTCACCAAACAGGACTATGTCATCTGCGTATTCTAAGTCGATAAGTGGACCTCCTGGTAGGAGATCAATACCTGAGAATTCAGTCGATGAGAGCGTTATTTCCATCAGGAGGTCTATGACAAAGTTAAACAAAAAAGGAGAAAGTGGAAAGCCTTGACGGATCCCACTTGAGGTTGCAAAAGTGGATGACTGTTCACCATAAGCTCTGACCCGACTAGTAGTGTTCGAGTAAAGAGCCCTCATAAGGTTTATGTACTTCTGAGGTACGCCTTTCAATGACAAGCACTACCACAGAACCTCTCGATCTACAGAGTCAAATGCTGCTTTTAAGTCAAGAAAGACCACCATTGTCGAACGCCGATAAGTATGCCTGTGTTTTAGAACCTGACGAGTGGTGAATATGTGGTCGATGCATCCACGACCAGATCTGAAGCCAGCTTGATTCTCTCGTGTTTTCAGTTCACGAGTCTTAGTTAGGCGTCCGAAAATTATCGAGGCTAGTATTTTAGATACTATATTAGTTAAACTAATCCCTCCATGGTTGTCACAGGATGATTTTGACCCTTTCTTAAATATTGGGACGATAAGTGATTGTGAATAACGTCTAACTCCCAGATTTTAGCTAAAATATTAGTCAACCTAATCGCTAAAACTAGACCACCATCCTTAAAGACCTCTGGGGCCAATCCATCTGGACCAGCTGCCCTTCCTCGTTTCAGATTAGCTATAGCCTTTTGAACTTCAGATAAAGTTGGTGGACCTACTTCAATGTTCCATTCACACTGTCTGGGAATGGAGGGTAGTTGTAGAGTAGCTGAAGGCCAGTTGAACTGTTCTCTAAAATGTTCCGCCCATCGTTCTAAACGTCTGGACTGGGAGCAGATGAGAGTGTCGTCTTTTTCCGAAATAATCTGACTTACACTTGACTTATTAATTCCAGTTTCTTTTATTAGTCTGTAGAGTTGTCTTGTGTTCCCTATAGCCGCCGCCTTTTCCATCTCTTTTGCTTTCGTTGCCCACCACAGCTCACGGTCATTCCTTAGACTTTTGCTTAACCTAGAGCTGATTTGTTTACGCTCTTCATTGTGTTCAAAACGTGATGGGATGAGCTTACGAGAATTACAACCAGTTCTTGAGGTGAAAATTAGACGTGAAGAAAAATTTATTGTTAAGGACTAACTGCACTACTATGTAAAGAACACTAGTTTAATTTTGGAAACGCTTTATATCCATTAGATTGAATTAAGGCATCTACAATTATTTCTTAGTATACTATATCAGGTAACAAAGTAATAATCAGAAAAGTGCAAACTTTTGGTAGGATCTCATATTGTGACATAAAGGGACAATATGGAGCTCAAGAAGCAACCTCCGCTTCGTTTCCTCTCACATTTTTCCTACGCCATTCACTTCTCTCCATCAGTATTTTTTCGACCGTTTTTGTACTTGCAGTTATGTTGCTCAACAGATAAGTATTCTAGTACTTATTTTATTCATTGTTGTATCTTATAGTTCCCGATATTCAATCAATAAGCACACGCATAGTAGTTCACGTTCAAGTAACCAAGTACTTAAGAAAAAATGTAAGAATTCGAATGGCAAATAATCAACCAGATGAAGGTCAGCCTTACATAAAAGAACCACTGATTCATCCCCAAAACTATCCTAGTTTTAAAATCTAATATACATGAAAACTGTCAAGATACTTAGTTCAAATATGACATTGCCACAAACATCAAGTTTGCTGTTAGTAAAGGTGTTTGTGATTCACAGCTCAAATCATAAAAAAGTTGCCTTGTACATTTTGAGCAGAAAAAGTAGTTTATAAAATGACAAACATAAGCGCCTAAGTCCGTGAAGAGAGGACAATAGTTATATAATGCTCAACAAATTAATCAATAAGATCATATCACTTAAATTCGATGAGATTTGTGATTACCAGTACGTGTTGTCGTCGTGTTTAGAAAAATATGCACAGTTTTGCCCATCTTTAAAGTCTTCGAGACTTTGGAAATAAGTTCCGAGCCAATATTTTAGAGAAGTGAGTAGGTCTTCTAAGAGAACAAGCTTCAGGGAACATGGTATCTCAACACTCTATTTATCTTCAGCATTTCTAACGACAGAAATCGTACGAAATACGAATTGAAATAATTTCGGTAATACAGGTTAGCAGCAACAAACTCTCATCTCGGGCAGTTTTAATAGCGCTAAAAACGCATGACACCATTTAGGTAAAAATTAGGAGACCTATTTTAGATGGTGATAAAATTGAAGTACAATCAGCTTACTCGTGTATGAAATATTGGTTATACAAGAGTGTTCATCTTCTAGACATTGCATTGTAGTTTTGATGCATTTATCTTTATTTCCTTCCTGATTCCTGCACACATAGCACTCCATGGATAATACTTTGAAAATTAGAAGTCATAGGCAACATACATTCTTTGAAAACCCCAAAAATGAATAATAGGACAACAGAAGCTATCATTTCCTTGTAACCTTGAAAGACGAAAACGAGGGCAAATAAAGATAAATAACAAAAGCCGTAGTTAAACAAATGGTAACCAAAAGTACATCTTTGCAGGATAATTCGAAGAAAAAAACGGTTTTCTAACGTTTCTTATCACATTCATCGCACGATAAATGTTAATTGACACGCTACTTGCCAAATCGCATTCCCAGTGATTGTATTCATCCTAACATACTATTTAAGGTTTCCAGATGAACTTTCAGGACCATGTCCAATTTAGTACTTATCTGTGTATTATCTAACTTCAAAACAATAGGGATAATACAATCTTCAATAAAATCTTCTTTGTCTCGTAGAATATAGGTTAAGAATGCCACATGTATTCGGTTTCTGACAACGCATTTGTACATCACTTATTTATAATCAGTGCATACCAACCCGATCAAATCAAAAGTCAGAAATGAAGGGGGTCAAATATATATCTGGAAAGCCGTCGATTTGCCCAGAAACGTTTGGTCTAAACTGGACAGTAGTTACAAGTCATGCATAGCATGACATACCCACTAGTGATCTGGCGCGGATGCGTGACAAATGGCCTTCACTTTAGTTGTGCTCAGTAAAGCTAATGAAGTGCACATCAGTGTGGAGGGTTAACAAAATCAAGTGTTCCAGAGATTTTTTACCGCTTCACTTAACTCCTCTCCTAGTGAGGTAGTGATGACCATAAGACATGGCCAGCCGTAAGTTTAAGCCCAAAGACTTCATCGTGGATAAACACTTTTCTTACAGCTCGCTATGTTTTGTAGCTTTTAGTTGTCTTCCTATAATCTGGAGGTTATGTGGCACAATATAACAATGAACAAAAATATACTAATGAATATCCCTATTCACCGTATTCTTCGTCGGGTCTTCATCATATGAAGCCGTCTGGGAGAATAAACAAAATTGAAAATGCATCTCGAAATACAAGCGTACGTGCTTAATGATACAAAACATGCAAAAAAATTAACTTACGTACGATATGACAAGATGCGATTAAAAAAATATTTTTGCACAATGAAAGTTTTGAATTTTTTTAGTGAACCAGAAAAAATTTACATACATGTAAGCACATCAGGAAGTAAAACACTCTTATGATACAGCAATACAAACGAACGAGATAAAATTTTATGTAGTGTCCCATGGACAATAGTCGTTTAAGTATCCTGGAAACCTTACCCATATTCCAAAACTCGTTATTTTGGGCCGGTTTCCGGATACCAGTGGAATTTCGTTGTAATTGTTGTTTATCGGTTTATGAGGCTCGTGTCATACGACTGTGCAGGAGAAAAACGAACGTTATCAAGGTTTCGTTCTAAGTATACGGCTTTAAGACGGTCAGTGTCGAAGTTATTGTTAGCTCCGTCTATCTATCGATGATGAAGTATTTAAGTTTACGATGAAGGACTTAGAAGGGTCTCGTTGAGAAGTCGTCGTAATGAGTCGTGACATACGGAAACGAGTGTGCAGTGTCGTAAGGCAGATTGAATGAAAACAGCAGTTGACTACATTCCGGTGGAAAGAGTCTTAACTGTGTAAATAACATTTTTAAGTTTGCTCGTGTAAGATTTGAGATCGATATTCATAAACACAAACGGGAAGTCTATAAATCCTCCCGGAAGCCGGAGTGTTGTTCCTTAAACGAGTTGTGCTGCTGCATATCTTAGGTAAGCTGGCACTGCACTTAAAATACCGGGCAACACGATTGTAAGTTCACCAGTCCATTGCAAAACATTCTCGTTTGAGATTGAAGCTCTCAACCGCAAGTGAAATCGTTCTACCAAGTTGTTGGAATGTGGGTAAGCGGACATTCATAGTCACTTGGTTCTTAGCAGTGTAATACGACGACTGAAAAGTTCAGACTCGAACTTGTGTCGACGGTCTGTACTAATAGTTGAAGGGCAGCTGAAATTTGCTACTCACTGCTCAACGAAGGCATGGGCCACTGTTTCAGCAGTAATGTCCTTGATAAGTACTGTCGTGGTGTGTGCTTCGTATATCGTTATGAGCAGTATATAACTATAGTCAGGATTAGAATGTCTGGCAGCAGAAGGTCGAGAAGGAAAGGACGAGAACATAAACCAGTTGGTATGAAAATACGAGAATAATAAAGTCTGAGATGATTGACTGATATATGCAAAAAGAACAGTCAAGTTTGAGATGATTGATTGACATTTCGCAAATTAAGTAATTACTGTATGATTCTCAAATGTAAGTAAGGTTTTCTGTAATTTTGTGCTCAAATACATCCGATCGTCCCCACTTTTGTTCTCCTTCACTACACTGCTTCTGGCGATTGAGTGAAACGGTCTACACACGTTAAGAGGTAAGAGTATCCATTTCAACCCGACCAAGGTCTAATGAAACCAAAACTAAAATTGTAGACAGTCGTGAAAAAGACCAAAAATAGACTGGTAACAAGGAGTTTGATTAGGCTGAAACATAAATTATACGAAAGCGAACTTCAAAACATGTGATGTTTTCCTGTTGAGTCATAGAATAATGAGAGGTGGCCTGATAATGTCAGAGAACACATCGGGTACACCAAGACAAACCAACACGTGCATCGTACCACGAGATCACTACCACATTCATCAAAATAACTCCAAAAATATTGCCCATCAAAGTAAAAATCCAGGCACGCCGCCAACTTTCTTCATCAAGATTTGCCCACATTCGGAATCTTTGCCCAGACGAAGTCGCTACAACCACCTTGATAGGCTTCAAGGGGTTAAGCCTCTTTCAAACTATCTGTACATGGTGCGGGTCTCTTAAGTTACCCTTTTCGTCGTTACTACATATCATTTCCTTACTTTTATCTCACTTTCCATCAACTCCGTTCCTCCTTTGTACGTTGACTTCGATCTTCTCATGCTGTCTGCATTACTAATCGATTGGCTTATTTATATGCATCTTGAAACAATCTCCTTTTGGCATTTGCACTTTCATTTTATCATTTTCTACATTGCAAACAATCAACCTCGTAGTTGATAATCAGGTGGATTGTTCTTTCAGAAACCCTGCGGCCCTGATAAAATCTCTCTCATCCTGATTATAAAACAGATAAACACAGAGGTAACTGCCAAACTGATTGGAATTAATGTAGTCAATCGTCTAGATAAGCTCTAACTGTACATTAATATGATAATTAGAAGTAATTGAATTATAGTATGAACTAAGAATCCCAGGGATATCGCAATTGAATCAAGAAGTACTACACAAGCACTAACGAATGTACTGTATTTCATATTCGAAATCAAACATTCAACAAGTAGAAAGGAGTCATTAGTTCATTCAAACACCACATCCGCCACAGCTTAAATCGGAGTCTAAGTATCTGTAATTGATTGTACGCCTTCTTCTTAAGTTCATCCTGTGTCTGTCCGACAGTGTATTGGATAAAGACTCTGTATTATCTAGGATGCACTCATTAGTATTAGAATTAACAACGGAAATCGGAACAGACTCACTTGATTTCTGGGATTGTGAACAATCACCATACCGGTTGAATACTGAAACTACCACCCAGAATATGAACCATAGACTATCCTCCCCCACGAAATAATGTCGGATCTTCATATCCTCAAGTTATGAATAATGTGGCTCCATTTAAAACATCATTCTCAATTTGACTAGAGTAAACATCGCAGGTGAATTTATGATAAGGACAAACAACAGTTGATATGGAATTATCTGAATTGTAATGAGAATCGAGCTCATTTATTACTCGTGCTTCGCACTGAACAAGTTTTCCATAAGAAACAAATGCATTATGAGGACAAATAATATTTGATATGACATCAAGATTTGATTCTTCTGAAATAGTTTCCTCAAATTTATTAAGAATGTCATTGCAGAGCAAAGGATCATCAGAAAAATCAGCATCTATCAAAACTACATCAGAATTTCGATCATGATTAGGTTTATCCGAAATATTCTCACCAGGTTTGTAAGAAATTTCATCAGAAATATGTGAATCATTAGGAAAAATCATATCTGGTACAATAACATGAGAAATCTGATATGTTGATTCATTAGAAATTGTTTTCTCGCAAGGATTCTGAGTTTCATTTAACTCTGAACTGCTATATGACTCTAAACTGCCTTTGAAATCGTCGATAAAGATAAATGATCATTATAAATATTCAAATTAATAGAATCAGAATCACAAGACTCAATATTAGTTGCAGCAAGATGAACAGTAGTATTACAAACTGACTGAATATGTCCAACATCACCACATTTAAAGCACTTACAATTACGAAATTTACATGAATTAAAAGGGTGGAACTTGGCACAAGAAAAACATTGACTAAACTTGTGCCCATCTTCGTGAACTGCACAACCTTGAGTATGCACTGGGATGGGGTGATGTAATGTAGTGGAATTTTTTATATCCTCATAAATTATTTTACGAAATCTCCCTTTACCGAATTCGAAATGTGTATACTTAGCATAGTCTATGAGTAGTTCCTTGAGTGTTGTATAAGGAAGAGAAATGGGCTTTTCCGGTGAAGCCAAAATTTTTAATAAGCCATATGCTTCTTTTCCAATGAATGTGAGAAAATGTGCCACAATATTAATATCCTCATCATCTTTCTTGGTCATGCTCCAGATTTCAAACCTTTCCAAATAGTCCTCAAAAGCTTCAGAAGTTGAATGAATATCTAACTGTTCTATCGCAGGCTCCATCGCGACGCCAATATAATAATTAGAAGTAATTGAATTATGGTATGAACTAAGAATCCCAGAGATAACGCAATTGAATCAAGAAGTACTACACAAGCACTAACGAACGTACTGTATTTAGAACTCGAAATCAAACATTCAACAAGTAGAAAGGAGTCATTAGTTCATTCAAACACCACAATTACCGAGGACGTGTCGCCGTGCTAAAGATATGAATGCGGTGGACAGGTGGACGACCATCCTTGATCGCAAGGGGAAAGTTGGCGTCATTTACCTAAACTTCTCGAAAGCTTTTGATTGTGTC